CAAGACAATCGACCAAGACAATCGACCAAGACAATCGACCAAGACAATCGACCAAGACAATCGACCAAGACAATCGACCAAGACAATCGACCAAGACAATCGACCAAGACAATCGACCAAGACAATCGACCAAGACAATCGACCAAGACAATCGACCAAGACAATCGACCAAGACAATCGACCAAGACAATCGACCAAGACAATCGACCAAGACAATCGACCAAGACAATCGACCAAGACAATCGACCAAGACAATCGACCAAGACAATCGACCAAGACAATCGACCAAGACAATCGACCAAGACAATCGACCAAGACAATCGACCAAGACAATCGACCAAGACAATCGACCAAGACAATCGACCAAGACAATCGACCAAGACAATCGACCAAGACAATCGACCAAGACAATCGACCAAGACAATCGACCAAGACAATCGACCAAGACAATCGACCAAGACAATCGACCAAGACAATCGACCAAGACAATCGACCAAGACAATCGACCAAGACAATCGACCAAGACAATCGACCAAGACAATCGACCAAGACAATCGACCAAGACAATCGACCAAGACAATCGACCAAGACAATCGACCAAGACAATCGACCAAGACAATCGACCAAGACAATCGACCAAGACAATCGACCAAGACAATCGACCAAGACAATCGACCAAGACAATCGACCAAGACAATCGACCAAGACAATCGACCAAGACAATCGACCAAGACAATCGACCAAGACAATCGACCAAGACAATCGACCAAGACAATCGACCAAGACAATCGACCAAGACAATCGACCAAGACAATCGACCAAGACAATCGACCAAGACAATCGACCAAGACAATCGACCAAGACAATCGACCAAGACAATCGACCAAGACAATCAGTTGTCGGAAATGTTGGACGAGTTGAAAAACTTACAACTAAACCGAGGAAAGATCAATAAAGGAACAACAAATGTTGAAGTAACCAAAAACACCAAGGATACAATAGAACTTGAAGAACCTTCGACAACAGCAGAACATCGGACCAAGACAACAACGGATCAAAGACATCGACATTAAGGACGAACAAGGACCAACGACCACAGAGGATGAAGAAAAGGACCAAACAACCGAGATAATCAAGGACCAAATATTCTTTGCAACATTTCAAGCATGGATGCGAACGTGTGAGAAAGTTGTCAGCAATGAAGTTGTTCAGTTCTTCATTTACCTGTTGATCGCTGGAATCTTTTCAACGTGTCTTTATTGGAAGGACCTTTTTGCGAAGATCAAGATATAGACAATAAAAGGGACCATCGTTTCTGTCATCGTTCTAGCAGTGTTGAAAGTCTTATTTCGAAGTTTGAGGACCGAAGTCTTATCGGGATGGAATAGTACAGTCAACTACCTACCAACAACCAGAGGTGCCTTCGATCTGACGAATCATGGCTAGTGTGGGAGTTTTCGCTCTAATCTCCTAATCTGGCGCTGGCGGACGGTCATTGTTACCAATTTTTGGAAATCTCACGCGAAGAATCAAATCACTCTGTGTTTGTCAAAACGTGCCTTTTCGTGTGACATAACTCGCAATAAAGTTTAGCGAAAGATTTTGACGCTTATGGAAGTATGCTTCTCCCATACCGACAGCCCCAACACGTGAAGTATGGAATAACCTCTAGGAAGCTCTATAGAACTTAAATTCGATATTCCCTTCCTGCGATATTCTTTTTTCTGTTTCCTTTTTCGATCTCTTTTGCATGAAGTTGCCGTTGGCATGCGTTGCATTTTCAATTTCCGAGATTTTGTTCCTCGATTTTATGAAAACGGGGTCAATCCATTAAATGATCAATCATGAGTCTCGAGCGACGCGACACGTAGCTGAGTATCTGTACAAGTGTTTTCCATTACGATTCGTTCATGTCAATCAGGCAGTGATTTGTTCCCTTTTGACGGCAACGTGGGTGCAAAGGACATCATATGGAAATTTTGCTACGTACTGTTGAAGTTTGAAGTTTTATTTGCAAAGTAGAGCATCCCGTAGACGGCGACTGATAAATGACTTCAGTCAGTGATTAAAGAGTCTATCGGTACACATTGTGCTGCTGCCAGCATATTGATACGTGATGTCATCCCAGTAACACGGACGGCGTAGCACGGTTGTACAGCTTTTTCCAAGTTGATGTAACGCGTCGTGTCGTGTACGTTTGCCTGGAAAAGCTGTATCTCCAGGATGAAACAGAATTCACTGTGCAAGAACTCCACATACAACTTCCATAGACTTTGTCGCGGTAACTATTTTAACGAAGCCATTGAACTGATGTATGTTTTAATGTTGCAGAAATACTTGTTCCCAAGGGTTGTGAATTTGTTTTATCATGGTGCAAAAAATCTGTTAGTGAAGTGTTTGGTTTGATTGACGCATTTCTGCTTCAAGAATCAGAAGTAAGTCTCTCATCACTCTTATTTTGACATTTTATTGAAATCCCTTTGTCAGTTGACTTACACCCGCTTGTCCCAAGAGCTCAAACTATCGCCAAATGTTTCTCAGAGGTATGGAGTGGAAATACGGACATGCATGAAATAGAGACATGCATGAATACAGACATGCATGAAATGTATCCAATTGGCTGTTTTTTGTAGAATATTGGCGACGTATGCGACAGAAAGAAACCTCCGGGCGACTCTTCTTATCGGCGTTCGTGCATCATCCGAGGAAGTTCGATACAATCAACTAAGCGATGCTGATTTAGAAAGTGAGAAACTCTTTCGGTGATATATTGTGTCTAGTCTCTTCTTTTCTCTTTTATGATGAAGATTTCATGGATACAATCCCACGCGATAAAATTGAATCCATTACTTTGATGAGTATCTGGAGAGAACGACTAGATCCTTGTTCATTGTGGACATCCGAAATGCAATATTCGTTGTCCCAATTGAGAGATGCGACAGAAACACTCTGGATTCCTCAATAGTCCGTTAGTCTCCATCGATCGTTTTCCTTTTTAACGCTCGAATTTCTGTATTTCCCACAGCATCAAGTATTACTGGAGTCTCTCTTCTGATCAATTGCGTCGTCAATCCATCGGGCCTTCAGTTCCAGCGTATCCCTCGACAGACTCTTTCCCCAAACATTCAATCGTCGCGTCACCTTCTGAGAAATGCTCGAAAGGACACCCGATACCCCGTGAATCTCCGGAACCATCAACGCTTACGCCAATCGAAGTCCCAATTGCCTTCCCGTCAACCCCGCAACTGAAGGACCCTAAAAAAACACCAAAAAAGAAAAGCAAATGGTTCACTACTGAAGACAAACCAGCAAAGGACAATAAAAGTAGAACTTCCAAACAATTATCTTCGTTAGCGATTAAGAATGATTATCGCATGAAGTTTGGGAAAGAGAACATCGATGCCAGTTCAATGCTTTCGCCGCCTTCTTCGATGCTTTCGCCGCCTAGTTCAATGCTTTCGCCGCCTTCTTCGATGCTTTCGCCGCCTAGTTCGATGCTTTCGCCGCCTTCTTCGATGCTTTCGCCGCCTAGTTCGATTTTTTCGCCGCCTTCTTCGATGCCTTCGCCGCCTAGTTCGATGCCTTCTCCGCCTTCTTCGATGCTTTCGCCGCCTAGTTCGATGCCTTCTCCGCCTTCTTCGATGCTTTCGCCGCCTAGTTCAATGCTTTCGCCGCCTTCTTCGATGCTTTCGCCGCCTAGTTCAATGCTTTCGCCGCCTTCTTCGATGCTTTCGCTGCCTAGTTCGATTCTTTCGCCGCCTAGTTCGATGGTTTCTTGTTCGAAGCCTCAAAAGAAGAAAGAAGAAAAGATCGAGGAGGAAGAACAAATTTGTAGAAGGAGGAAAAGATCACGCGTTGTATCTGATGACGAGCATGAACCATCACTCGGAAATAGACAAAAACAATTCAAAGAGACCCATCGTATAGATGAAGCTAAAGCTCCAACGGATGGTATCGAAACCAAACAAAAAAGTGATCATCGTGATGAAGATAAAAAATCCATCTTCCACTGTAAGATTGAATCGACAAGCCCATCTGTATCAGTTGCTGAATCTCATGGCCCTCCTAACATTCTTATGGCCCTCCTAACATTCTTATGGCTGTCCTAACATTCTTCCTAACATGGTTCACAGATCGCAACTGAGTTCATTTTTTCATCTTTTTGTTGTTCTCGCAGTAAAAAGTCGTAACGACGAAAATAGAAGAAATGAAGATCATGATGATGAAAAGACAATTCTGACGAAAAGGAAGGTAAAAAATTAAAAAATAGCAACTGGCTTCTGCCGTTGATAATATCTTGATCACTAATGAGAGTGCGTGTTGGCGGGCAGTCTTTAGAATATGATGTTATTCGATTCAGGTAAAGGTAGAACAAACATCAAAAAAAGGGGAAATATACGAGTAGGTTGGAGCATTCAAAATAATTGTCATTCAACTCCTTCAGTGCATCAAACCGTCGAGAAAGTCGAGGAAGTCGTTCAGTTGAAGAAACTCTCTTCAACCAAAACCGCGAACTTCAATGAAGATGGGCCAATTGGAGCCACTCACCAACAAAGTTTGAAACACTATTTCAAAAAATAGATTATCTTCTGTTGCCAATTTCTTGTGAAATTTGGAGGAAGCGAATGTGTTTTAACAGAGACCATTTGAATGGCTTGTTTACAGTGCAATGCATCATATGTGGCTACAAAACAACCCCGTATGAGAAAATCGAAGTCTTTGGATTTTGGGGGACAAAACAACCACAACAGAATATGCCGTAGAAGAAAAATAGCTGAAACAGTTCTTGTACAAAAAAGTGACAGAGCAACTGTGCATAACACTCACTACTTGCGAAAAACCGCAGGAACAAAAACACGGCATCTCACCGTCAACATCTATTGCAGCTCCCGTAGAAACACTGGGAGGAAAAGAACGCATACGGATTTCGGGAAATTCCTGCATTCTTTCGCCCATCAACCGTCCAATTCGTAGCAAAACACCTGTGACCTCGATCACACTTAATAGCTTCTTCCAAAGAGACACCACCGCTTGGCTGGTTTTCCGGTGAAGAAGCACTTCGTTCCCTCCGGCATTGGAGGCTGAAGAGCATGAATGAAAACACAATTAAAGATCATAAAAGTCCTTTTTTGCTCACTTGATCAAGAGGAATGCACAACGATTTCATAGCACCAGTCAACGCAGGAGCACAACCCTCCTCCGTCGTTTCCTCTTGCTGAACCAAAGAGAGGCGGGTTGTTTCTTTTTTAATTTCTTCTTCCGTTGCTGGGTCTTCACACCAAGGTGCCAAAATGAGCTTTTTCTCATTCAAAATTGGCATCACTTCACTGAAGTCAGACACCTGATGAGGACAACAGACATGAATGTTTCCCCAATCAGAAGCAAATAGAGTTGGTTGCCTTCGCCCCTTTATTCCTATCCATATACTCTTATCCTTTATCTCATTACTTCATTCCTTACTTTAGTTATTGAACCATCAAGACTGTCCTTTGCCTTCTTAAACATTGCGTTGTGAATATCTTCAAGCATTGTGGGAACAACTGCAACTAATTCGCTCCATCGATGATCCGATTTGTCTCCATTATGGCGCTTCACTAAGCGAGCTGTTTCGCTCTTCATGTCACGTGGTCCAATTTCCATCCGAATACAGACGCCTTTCGTTTCCCAATCGTTATATTTCCACCCAGGAGTGTAATTATCTCGATCATCCACTTTAACCCGCACGCCGATTTCAGTCAGAGATTCAGCAATTTTGTTACATCGCTCGATCATTTCAATAGAACAGGCTTCTTTATACACAATTGGGACAATGACAACTTGCACTGGTGCACATCTCGGTGGCATCACCATTCCTTTATCATCCCCATGGATCATTACTGCAACACCGAGCTGAACAACAAACAAAAATATTTCGTGAAATGATTTGTTTGCAACTCAACTGATCGCGTTGATAATCCCCAAGATGTTTGATGCGCCAATTGTCGTTGACGGTCTTTGTCTGAATGATAGAAAAAAAGATAAACTCTGATCCACTGTCAATGAATATAAACTACTGCCAATGCGACATTGGAAGGTCGATGGAGAACCAGAAACGTCGACTCTTACCTTCAAATTCAATTCCAAACATTTTTGAAAAATTTTGTCCTAGGTGGTGAGATGTTGCTGCTTGTACACCTCTTCCATTTTCAGCAATAAGTGTTTCAACAGTTGTCGTCATTTTTCCTCCAGCAAATTTTTCTTTTTCACTTTTAATTCCCTTTACAACAGGAATTGCAAGGAGCTCTTCATAAACAGCAGCGTAGATGTCTAAAATCTGCATCACTGTTTTTTCGGCGTCTTCGTCTGTTGCGTGAGCGGTGTGTCCTTCTTGCCATAGGAATTCTCTGGTTCTAATAAACGGTGTTGGTTTGCTTGAATTCCCAGCGGACAACTTGACACCACTACAGCAACACAACAAAACGTCGACAGAGGAAGAAGAGAGTCAATTCCAACTAATCAAGCAGTCTGCTTATAGATTAAAGCGTTTCCATGTTAAAGCCCTTTTAGATTAAAGCGTTTCTAGATCAAACCGCGTCCTACTCGATGTTATTATCAAACGTACCTGATTGAGCTTTAATGGAAGATCTCGATGCGATCTGATCCATTTTGCAAACGATGGATACATAATTGTTTCGGATGTTGGACGAATTGCGATTGGCTCAGCGAGTTCGCTGTCACCATACTTTGTCACCCACGCCACCTCTGGGCTGAATCCTTCGACGTGATCTTTTTCAGCCTCCAATTTATTCTTTGACACAAACATTGGAAAATAGCAATTTTGAACGCCAAGTTTCTTAATTCGGATATTCATGAAATCTTGAATTGATTCCCACATAAAATACGACCAAGGGCTGAATCAGACACCATTTATAAAAAAGATAATTACAAACAATACTCACCGCAAAATATAACAACCAGAGATATCATAGTACTCGACCATATCACTTCGAGTGATGACTTGAGTGTACCATTCAGAGAACGCAGCCTCCTTTGTTGCAGTAATTCCAAGCTGTTCAGCCCCAATTACTGCGGCAGGAACAGCGTCCTTCACTTTTGTTTCTTTAGGAACGGCCGCTTTGCCGTCAACCACATCCGCTACAAGAATAACTTCAGTCATTCAAGCTCTCTTCTCCTATCACCTACTTTGGCTAAAATCAACCCATTTAACAACACGGTTGTAGGATTTGAAAAATTTTAGAAGATCCGCTAAACTGATTGCAAGTGTTGCTAAAAAATAAAATAATATAAAAAAAATCAATTCGGATAAGAAGAACGAACCTTGGTTGTGCAGCGGATGAACAAGCAAGTGCTCTGGAGAAGCCTTTAACGCTTCATCCAAAACAAAACTCAATGTTGTTTCTGAGAGAAGGAGGTCAAAATAAACTCAATGTTGCTTCTGAGAGAAGGAGGTAAACGTAGAAGCCAGACCCTTACTCCTTATCATTCATTACGGCGAGGGGTGTTACTGCGCCAGGCGTCACGCCTAGAAGCGTTTTCATCTGCTCCTCAGTGGCAAAACGAGGGGTAGGGGCAGAGAGCAAAGACGACAAGACTTTCAAATTAACTGCCGATTCCTACCGAACAAGATTCAGATAGAATGAGAATATTTGCAGCAACACAATTCCGCTCTTGTTGAACAAACATAATTCCGCTCGTACAGATGGGATCGAACTCAATGATGCTAACATTATTAAATTCCTCCTATTGGTAGCTGCGACCTTATCAACCAGCACCACTCCATTCTTACAGTTTTCGCAGAGACGACATAGAATCGCTTCTTCTTGTCACAGAGAAATAAGTTTTTCACTTGTTGATACGGCTTGCCCTCAAAGATCGAGTTCAAGTCATCAGCAGTTCGTGCTGGTTCATGACGGAATTCCTGTGAACAACATCGGATAAACTGGTCCAGGAGAACACACTCCAAGCAATTCTTACCACGAAAGGGATTTCCAATTCCGCGAGTTTCGTGAAAAGCGTCATTGCTTGGGGCAAGTTTTGGAGAAGCTTTCGTGTTTTTCCTTGTAACGATCGAACGGATTCAGGTACCAGGAAAGACATGCGGTCCAGGTGTTTGAGCTCAGACTCCCAACATATTCTGACGAGTGATGGCCGTTTGTATTGATTCTCTCTATGCTTTTGAGCTCAGGAAAGAGTTCATTGTGTCTCTGTAATACGGGTTCAAAACTATCGCTATCCATGGAACATTCTTGTCTGAGTCTCTCTCTCGCCTTTCTGCTTCTAGACTCTTTCCTCTTTAAGCGTTTTCTTTTCCTCACTGATTTCTTTCCAATTCTTTCGCTCCCATCCCGTTCCTCCAGCCTCAAGAATCTGCGAATGTGCAAGATGAACATGGTTATTTAAAACAAGCGATGGCCTTGATTGACGTACAGCTCCAAGACTTTTGAAACAGCTCAGCGCCCACCAACTGACGATTAGAAACGCGACGTGCAGTCCCGTGAAGACAGAGAGGAACACAATTTCCTCCGTTGTGGGTTTCCATCCCTTGCCGAATTCAATACCCCAACCAATCCACTACGAGGAACACAATGGTCGCTTTTTTCTTTTTGAGATGAAGATTTCAGTTACCGATATGATGAAGGCGAATATGACGGCTGTTCAAAAAGAAGGGTTGAAGAAGAGTGAAGGGGCATCTTTGATAGATTTAGAAGAAGGGTGGCAAATGGATAAAGGCTTAATGAATAGCATAATGGATGAAGGATACATGCGCAGTATCAACCACAGACGAGAAAGAGAGATGGCGACTTACAGTAGAGGAGGATTTTGTATCCTAGTGTGAGTCCAGATGTGCCTGAAGATTGTTGAGTTGGACAAAGAGTGGCAGTTGCGACTTGAGCCAACACGAAGCAGACTCAACATTCCTTTCATTATTCTGGAGTATTGCATACCGGCAGCCCATCCGGTTGCGCACGCCAGAAATCCAAGAAGTCCAAATAGTGCTTTCAAAATTCCCAAAATCAAAGCTGTCACCAACGCTAAATCTGGCCACGATGGTGACATTACAGCGCCGTAAATATCCCAAGCACCTTGAAAGCAGAGAGTGGGTTGAGGGGGCGTGATGCCTCAACAACAGAGAAGGAGATGCAGCCTTCAACACTATTACAGCTTCCAACAATAGTACCACATATCCGCGTCCTCAATGGTTTTACCCATTAAGTGCACATGAGCGTGTTCCACTTACCCCAACCTATGAGAAAGATTGAGAATAGGATTCCGAATAGTGCTAACGGAATACAACAACAGACAGCTCCGAAGCTTTTAGATCCCCCGAGCATCGTCTTAAGGGATTTGAAGAAATTTATAAAAAGAAGGACCACAAGATTGTGGATTCTCTCAGATAGATATTCCACAAGCGAGTTAAGGTAAGAAGATTGGCCAAGATTGTACACTTAGAAATACCTCACAGTAATGAGCAGCTGCATTCAGTATGAAGATTAATACACAATAATCAAGATTGGTATCATCTATGTTTGTAGTTATATGTGTTTTTAGTCTTGCTCCCAATTCGGATTCTAAGCTGCGTCTCTAGCCTTCGCTTTGAGAGGTTCGTTTGATTCCCGATCAAGAACTCGCTAAAGTCAAAAACAGGAGAAAGGACAAGTTGCCTTTTCCTCTAATAGTCTCTTCGGGTCTCCTCAATATCTTCAAGAGATCAGAAGCGGATGGCTCTGTTTTCGCACAGTGTAAGTCCATGCTCTAGCAATAAAAAGTCTGATTAAAATTTGAACATTGATCGCTACCATATCAAATTCTTCCCTTGTTGTCGAGTGATTCAAAGTCGCTTCTGCTAAAACCACTTGAATCCTTTTCTGGTCTTCTGCATGAAGAACGGAAACTCCTAAGCGCGATTTCAGAATCGCATACAAGGCTTTAAATGCCTCCCTTATCGCCACACATAACTCGACTGGATTATCATCTGAAAGACACGTTTCTTCCAAAAACACCATCATCTCTTCGTCAATATTGTAGCTGTACACCATCTCAACAAAATCACTTTTTGTCAACTGTAGATCATGTGGTGGTTGAGCGGCCTCCTCAGAAAACCATTCAGGGTCTGAAGGCGACTTGAAATACCTTGAATAAAGAAGTTCAAGAAAATGAGATTAGATTTCTAACGAGAGGTCTTCATTACTTGAGAAGCACGGATGTCAGAGAATGACGCTGATTTGACAATGATGTTGCACGCAGCATAAAATCAGAAACAAGCGCTAGGTCCCCCACAGCTAGTTGGTATTTTCCCGCTGCCCAAATATCAAACAAATCACTGAGAACAACCCCTTGAATTTGCTTCAAACCTTCCCTATCGGTTAAAAGCATAATGGTCTTCAAAACTGGATCGTCTCTATGGAGCTGTTCTAAAGAAAGTGGAGCATGCTCCTCCATGGTTTTTGTTAAAGTTTCGGTGAATGCACGGCTTGCCATTTTTACGCGACCTGATCTGAATTTGACACGCCTTTTTTCTTTTTTTTCCTTTAAGCGGATTCGGGACGTCCCGCCCGTAGTGGATAAATCCGCAAAATCTCCTTTCAGTTTTTGGCAAAATTCAGGAGACGATAAATCGATTTCTGTGGTTTTTTGTGACTCGCATGAACATCCACAAACATTTCCCATTTATTTCCGAAAATCTATTCCAGACTTCTGGCCTGGATGTTTCGTTACCGTTACAGCAGTTTTGTGTTAGTCTTGCACTTTTTCGTCAGGAAAGAGGGTAGCTGCTAGAACATATAGACATTCATGTGGAAATGGGGTTACTACGTTGAGGCTACGTTTGTTTCCTTCTTCGGATTCTTCGAGACGAAATTTTGGATACGCTAATTTTAGAACAGTTCGAAGCCCGGAGTGGTTCAGCGCCCTGGCGAGATAAGACGAAGTCGCGTCACAGCGCACAAAGGGGCACTTCCGACGACGTGCGTTATCAACACACCAGGATCCAAAACCTGAGAAAAAATTGAGGAATATATTTATAGAGTGAAGTAATTTAACGAAACCCGAAAATATAAAATATAAAAATTGGATCCCATCACTAGAGATCAAGGTTCTTCAGCGCAATGAATTGGAGCCCCAATCATAACAAGCAAATCTACACTAATCATTGAATTGTGGGGTACCCATCGCTTCTATAGGACGCTTAAAAAGCGTGATTATGAAGCCCGGGATTTCAGTAACTACTTACATGTTGCAATGTCACGAGCAGCAAAGCGAGAGTCTACTGCAATAGCCCCTATCTCAAATGTAGAATCAATTTCAGTTGGAGGGCTAGAAGCAGGCTTGGCACCACGAGCTTCGCTCCTCGTAGTAGAATTTGCACGAGCAAAGGCACTTGCTAAAAATACATCTGTGACTTTATTCGGTATATTTTCCTCAATAAATGAAAGAATTGGATCTTTGGAGGAAAAAGTAGAAGACGAACTTCTTTCATTCGTCAGATAACGACACAAACAGACACCAACTAGACGCTGGTCGGCTGAGCTGCTTCTTTTCTCAGTATCAATAGCAACAGAACAGGCTGATATGTGATCTTTGTATCTTTCTTTTAAAAAATCAGCCAATTCTTCAACCTTCACATTTGTCTTTAGAGCCCGTTGGAGAGATCCAATCAAAGGTTCTCGCTTTTGAAGCTGATCAGCCACATAAAGGCATGCCTCTTCAAATCGCTCACTTGGCATTTCGACTACTTTGACAATCGTTTCAACCTCGTCGGAAGTCGTAAGCCACAGAAGCGACTCCTCCTCATTTTTCTTTGATTGAGTTTGAGGTGGAAACACCATCCTTCTGGTGGTCCTTCTGAGGAATCAGTATGGAGCCGCTAAACAATGAGTGGGGAGTTCGCCTCCCAAAATTCTGTCGCCCTGACGGACGAGCAAGTCATCTCCAACTGAGACCCCCTTCACTCGCGCTTGGTATTTTGAAAAATGCTCACGGCTCGGCGCGTTTTCGTATGGGATGCACTTCAGCAATTGCTGCAGTTTTCGGTCCTAAAGAATCTTCAGGAATTAGACGAGAAGTCGATAAGGGAGGACTTCAGGTTGTCGTTCGTCCTTTGTTTGGAAGCAAGACGTTAGGAGAGCGCTATGCTGAGTCAATCCTTGGGGTGATTTTGTCGTCAGTTGTCGATCTCAGTCAGTTAATTCGGACAACTGTGACAGTCATCGTTCAACCGGAAGAAGATGATGGCGGACTTCTTAGCTGTTTCATCAACGCAGCGATGTGCGCCATTCTTGATGCTGCACTCCCTTGCAAGGCCACTTATCTATCAATCCCACTCATCCGTCGCCTTCACTCTCCTGAAAACGAAACTCATTACGTTCTTGACCCAATTTTTGAAGAAATCCACTCCGACGAATCCGGCTTAGATCAATCAACATACGTTTCCCTGACGCTGGATATTAATTCTGGCTCTCTGGCTCACATTACTCCCGAGCATTTTTCAGCTGTTCAAAGAGAGACTCCACTCCCTGGAACACACTTCGAGACCTCAGAGACCCCCGCAGCTCCAAAATCTTTGTGGGCGAAACAGTGGAGTGAAACTGTAGAGATGTTGAATGTGGGTGCTGGTTGTTGTAAAATTTTATCTGAGGTTGTGAGAAAAAGTTTTGAAGCGCGTCTTTCGAATGTGGTTGTTAAAACGATTCGTGCAAATAACGAAATGAAGGAATGAAACTTCTTAAAACGAACACCAATGAAATTTGGCACATCTGGATCGCTCGAAAAGAGGAATGCGCCGATTGCTGCAAACCAAGCGACTTCCTCGTTCTTTTCAGTTTCAACGACCTCAAAAAAAAGCAGAAATTCAGAAAGTTCTCTCTGATGTTCGTCAGTCGGATGAAGGGGGTCTCAAACGACTTTCAGAGAGAGTGACTTCATTGGCGCATAAAATGGAGCCAGGAGACATAAGCGCGGTGTTCAAAGCATTCAGTGATGTGAAGTGAGTTGCTATTAAAACCGCTCAATTATGTTTGTTTCTCAGATTAACAAATCGAAAGATGTTCGCCGCGCTGTTCTCGGTGACAAGCAAGAACCTGGATAGATTCTCCTCAGATGGTTCGTTCTTCTATCTCTCTTCATCAGAAATCACTGCTCATACTCACAACTGCTACAATTCTTGTCTTGCTATTCATTTGCTATTGATATTGCTGTTGATTTTCTGCCAACTGTCCGGTTGGTCCCCAATCGCTCTTCCCCTAAAGGCTACAACACGATTGTCAATCCGATTGTCCACCTTTGCTTGTTCAGGTCTAATCGCTATTCTTCGATCCAGCTTTCATTTAAAACTTCGTTCGGATGAAGTACTCATCCCTTTTGTTGATCATTTAGTGACTTTAATGAAAGCATCCGACAGTGAAGATCAACCAGTGCGTCTACCCTCACAGCTCAACACGCTTCATGGGCTGGACATATTTCGGAAACGCGACTCTTTGAGGATGCACCGAACGTGTCTGTTTCATGAGCAGTAATGGGTTCTTCAACCTTCGCCAGCATGTTGGTATTCTCATTGTCGACATGAACTCATCATGAATGGAATGCACTCTGGTGTTGTAGATAATCATTGCTGAAGACGGAAGCTTGTCCACTTTCACCGCATATCAATTAACAGAGGCTGTTCATATTTTGTCCAGATGTAAACTATATCATGCAGAGTGAGTCATGAAAACATGTTCCTATGAGTGAATGGATCTCAGATTCTGGAAACAAGCAACTGCGAGATCAACACTCGAAAATCTTTCCGTTCTGCCTCCGTCTTATCTTGTCATCGTGATTGAATCCTTCGCGCGTCTAAACATTCGAGTCCCCAGCATTCTCGGAAATGTTTGCTCTCTCCTTCTAAGATCAAAATTGGAGAACCCAGATCATGAATTCCTGACTGGGCCCGATGCGGTCACAACCACCTTGTTCGACTTGAGATTTGTAAGATGAGCATCTTCCAAATGAACACATCTTTTTTTTCGCTTTTAGAACGTGTTTGTTAATGCTGTGAAGGCATTCAATAAACTCGATTATTCCTCAGAAGTTTGGAAAGTCGAAGTGGAAAAGGTTTTCATGCATCATCTAGAATCCTTCAAGGTAATTTTGAATGTCCCAATGGAGAAAAAAGTTTTGGTTTCTGTTTTCAGAAGAAACCTGACGATGACATTCCCATCGAGTCGATCATTGATTATCTTTATTCGATGTATTGCGTCCGAACCGCTTCAAATCACAAAGTAAGACCTTTCCATCAACAACAATCCTTCATTAGAGAAACACTTCAGGGGCTCATAAGAAGCTTCGATTTCTTGAAGGAAAATCAGATTCCAAGAAGTGCAGCAAATTCGCTTTTATCGTTGTTGGATTTCTTAGACTGTTGCTATCCCAGTAGGCTTGGATTGAAGTCCCAACAAATGAACGATTTTGTTGGACGAGTTCTTGATCGGGAGTGACGCAATTCCTCTTTTGTTTTTTGTTTCAGACGTTTCGGTGCCCGTCAAATATCTTCAGCCCTCACTCGAGACGATCAAATCTTGGGAGAAACAGAAACAGCAACAATTGTTTTGGCGGTTTTGCACCCACGGAAAAGAGCTTGAAGAACTTCTGAAGGAATTAGTGATTGATATCGAACCCTTCGATTTTACAATTGGATTAAACTCCTACAGACTGAAGCACTACATTCCTAGACTTAACACATCACTGTAAGAAGATATTTATTCAATTATCATCATCACTGCAAGAAGACATTTATTCAATTATCATCATCACTGTAAGAAGATATTTATTCAATCATCATCATCACTGTAAGAAGATATTTATTCAATTATCATCATCATGTGTCGATGCAGAGTTGGACTCGCCCCTACAGATTTTTACGTCAATACTACACATCTGACGTTGACGACTCAATTGATCTTACGGATGGCAGAAGCAAAGGTAGAGATGAGATGTATATGTATGAATCATAAAACATGCTAAAAGAGTTCGACTTAATATCATCATTAGAATATTATCATCATTGGAATATTCCAACTTTCGACTTTTTAGGGAATTACGATTGTCCAAATTCCATTCTACCGCTGGAATGATATCAAAACAAGAGTAGATAAGAAACGATTTTTGGTCTCTACGTTGAAAGCCATTCAGGAGAAACAAAAAAGACAAGAATAAAATACTTTGATTCTTCCAAAACCAACGAAACATTGTTTCTCAAGTTTCAAAAACGAATCATCCACAATCCAAAAAATCTAGAACCAAACACTCTGGCTATTCCTATAAAAAAGTTGTGCTTGCCGAGGGTACTTGGTCTGAAGAAAAGAAGAGTGGGATATAAGAAGCACAAGCAGATAAGAAGCACAAGCAGATAAGAAGCACAAGCAGATAAGAAGCACAAGCAGATAAGAAGCACAAGCAGATAAGAAGCACAAGCAGAAAAGAAAAGCGGGATAATCGATTATTTTTGTAAATAAGAACGATCTACACTTTCAGGTTGAGAGTATCAGAAGTGGATAAGAGACTAGCTGTGGTACAAAATTTGACTTACTTTGAGTTTTTTGAAGTTTCTGCAATTGACGCTGCTTTCTTCTTTCTGCCGGAGTTCCTGAAATACCCGAATACCCGTAGGATCCTCTTTTTCATGAATCACGTGGACTTACATCAGATTTTCTCCTGTATTGCTCAGGAGTGCCGTAGAATTTTAACGCAGATAATTGCTGTAAAATGCGACTCTGTTCACTTGTACAAAGGGATGAAAAATGGGACAGCTCGATCTGAATTTCCAACTAAAAGAAAAACAAAGAATAAAACAAAGAATAAAGCACGATAGTCACTCTGTTTTTCAAGAGGATTTCTAGAAGTTGGACGCTCACCTCTCTAACTCGGTCACCTCGATCCGCATACGTCTTAGAAAAAGAAGGCTTAACGTAGTAAGCAAGTTGATGTTCGAGAGTCGCCCGCCCCACTGAATACTCATGAGTCCGAGAAAGAGAAAAGGGAGGGGACTAACAGAAATTCGAAAATGAGAAAATAGATATTAGCGTGAAAAACCGAGTGATGATGAGACATCCACGAAAACTTACATTCGAAGAACTTAATAAACTAGAGATGAGCGTGATGAAGAGAAGAATGACAATTGGAAAAAACTGGAGAAGACCGAGAGAGGGTCTTTCCCTGACAAGAAGAAAGGAATATATGAAAGAGAAGAAAGGTATGAAAATGTTAACTAGAAGAAAGGAACATATGAAAGAGAAGAAAGGTATGAAAATGTTAACTAGAAGAAAGGTATGAAAATGTTAACTAGAAGAAAGGAATATATGAAAGAGAAGAAAGGTATGAAAATGTTAACTAGAAGAAAGGAATATATGAAAGAGAAGAAAGGTATGAAAATGTTAACTAGAAGAAAGGAATATATGAAAGAGAAGAAAGGTATGAAAATGTTAACTAGAAGAAAGGAATTAATTAACCAGAAGACCGCTTACTCTTGATCCGACTGAGTGCGTCGTTGATGGGAAGGATAATTTCCCGTTCGATAAACTCGATGCTGCGCATAAGGACCTCTCACGAAATGAACCCCGAAAAAAGATTCGAATAACTCCTAAAAAGATAAGAAAACCTCCTTGAAATGACGATAATAACAAACACAGAAGAACTACATTATTTTGTCCAAGAGTTGGAGGCAAAGAGCACTACGCGCGAGGTTGATGTTTTCTGACCTCAGGCGACATAAAATGGGATTCGTAATTTTGGCGATACTGCTGAGGTGCGTTTTCTTCTGTTCCGTGCGTATCGTAATGACGACGGGCATCTGGGTCGGACAAACATTGATAAGCCCTCGATAACTCTTTGAAAGCAGCCTCAGCCGAAGGACACTTTGCTTTATCAGGGTGAAATTGAAGTGCCAACTGAAAAGAATGAAATCAAAATAAAACTTTAGAGACGCAAAACTGACTTTGCGATACGCCTTCTTGACTTCTTCAGATGAACAATTTTTGTCTACTTTTAGAATTTTGTAGTAATCCTTCGCTTGAAGGATTGCATGACATTTAGCCTCTTGTTCTGGATTATAATCTCCGGCGTTGCTATCAGTTCTGTTGTCATCGACAGAAGTTGATACCCCTCTCCTTTGTCGAGCGTGTTGTTGACTTGATGCTGTAGCTGAACAAAAATAATGTCTAAACATCAACAGATGAATTTTTTTAACTAACCTGATGCTTTAGGTTTTGGATTGTCTCCGTGGTTAATAATTTGATCAGCTGCAGCTATTCCCTTGAAGTTATCGGGAGAGAACATCCGCTTTGCCTTCATCGCCAACCGTGCTGCCTGCCAATAGAATGACAATAGAATGACAATAGAATGACGGAATAACGATGGTTATGGAACGATGGCAATGGAACGATGGCGGTAGAGAGATGACTCACCGTAGCCCAGTCCCCCTTTGTGGACGCTGCTTGAGCCTTTTCCAAACATCTCGATGCTTCAGGGTCGTTCATGATTAATGTTGTTTTTCCTCAAAAACACGATCACCGAACAAACTTAATCTAAAGCTGTGCAACCCATTCCATCAGCTCACTTGCGCAGATGTTCCTGCGCTATTATTATTTGCCTTGTCCTGGTCCGTCAGCTGGGACGCTTGTACAGGTACGAGTCAGATGATGATCGTCAAGCTGCTCTCCAGGAAGTAAACAGACTGAACGAGGATCGAAATTGGGACATTGGATCAAATGGGAAAGCGGACATCAGAATTGGGACAAGCTGATGGGCCAAACAAGAAACTCAAGGCAGTCGACTTTTCGGTATCGGGCGAGGCCACCGAGATCAAGAGAAAGAAAAAAGAGTTCAATTGGAGCAGCGCAACATTTGGACAATTTCTTCTTAAAATAGCTTATATTGGTTCACGCTATTCAGTGAGTCTCTTAGAATGCTAAAATCCTTTGGATGAAGAATCTAATTGATAGGGACTAGCGTGGCAACAACCATGTGCAGATGGAACAGTTCCAACTATAGAAGGAAAAATATTTGAAGCCCTGAAAAAAACTTGTTTAATTAAGGATAGAAAATCTTGGTAAGAACAGGTCTAGATGGTGGAGGTAGATGCATATCTATGCATAACAGAGACGCTCATGACTGTGTAGAGTATCAGTGTAGAGATGAACATCAGATGAACATCAGTAGAATAGTGATGCCTCAGAAGCGATTTTGCAAAACCGAGCAAGCTGGGGTCTAATAAACTACAGGACTATTCGGGTTCAACAAATTGATCCGAGATGTCAAACTAAAATCTGTTCTCATCGTTGCCTGGATGCTCATTAGTGATGATCCTTGTTTATTTTTTCAAGTCGTTTCTCGCGATGTGGACGAACCGATAAAGGAGTTCACGCTGCTGGTAATTACATCTGCGTTCAATTACGAGAGAAACCAAGAAGTGTGGCAAGCCATTCTAGTAAGTCATCGTTGTCCCTTTCATTGACACAAAGAGGAGATCTCGTCGATCTGCCAACCATCCATCACTATCAACTCGCTTTCTTCTTGCCAAGCATCTAGCGGCACTTGAGTTGACGCAACTGTTTCTGTTGGCCTATCAACTCGCTTTCGATCCATCACTATCAACTCGCTTTCCATCACTATTACTCTTTCTTGTAGGTGAGAGTTATGATTATACATCGATGATCAACTCAGTGCTTCCTAAAGATATTCGAATAGTTGATTGTCGTCGAGTCCCAGAACATTTCGATGCCAGGTATTCTCAGCAATAGTATTGGGACTAGACTGCGTTGCAATGCTCTTGAAACAAGCTAGAATTCCTCTCAGGTTCAATTGTCTTTACCGTGTCTATAAATATATTTTTCTCGGGGATGGTCTTCGTATAGATGAAATGATTTCAGCATCGCATCTATTTGTTGGCGAACACGATTTTCGTAACTTTTGCAAACTTGATGCTGATCGAGTGCGCCATTTCCGGTATGAGATGCTTCATAGTATCATTGTTTATCTTTTTCATATATTCGTTTATCTTTTTCATATTCGTTTATCTTTGTCATATTTCGTTTATCATGCTCTGTTTATCTTTCGTCTATCTTTATTTCTTGTAGAAGAAAGATCCTTTGGATCAACTTTGAGCAAGTGTCTTCGAGTCCATCAATATGGGAAATCGAAATCGCTGGCTTATCCTTCCTTTGGCATCAAGTATGAAGAGCGTCTAAATCTTTAATAATATCTTTGTCCCAATTGTGATCAGATTCGTTGCATGATGGCAGTATTGTTCTTAATTGGGCGTGGGTTAGAGAGTCAAGATGTTATTTCTAAAATGTTGGACGTGAATCGAACTCCCAAGAAACCAGTGTGAGTAACATGTCATTCACACTCTATATTATCATTCATATCTATATTATCATTCATAGATTATCTTTTTTTGCAGCTATGAACTCGCAGATGATGTTGGACTGATTTTATATGATTGTTTTTTCGAAGGTCTTCACTTTCATAAAACACCAGAACAAATCCATCATCTTCGATCATTCAAGGTGGGAACAATTTTCTATCAGAATTCGTTTTTGTTTTCTTCTTTTTCAGACTTTCTATCTACAACATCTTCAGTCAGCTGCAGTCTTCCGTTGTATGAGCATGGACAGCCCACTTGGTAATGCACGACAGTTCTCAATGTATATCCATCGATGTGCGTTTTATAGATATGTGCTCCAGTTGGCCCGTTCCACTGAAGTATACTCCGTTACTAGAACGTCCGACCGCGTTGTCTCTAGAAGAACGGAAGGAAAACATCGAGAGGAAGCGCCACATGGCCAACAATCAAGACGATTAGCGTTCCTGCTTCTCTTGTCCTCTTTTTTTCTGAGACAGTAAACAGTTCTTTTTATCATTTTTTGTTAAACTTCAATGAAAACAATTACAACAAAGAAAACAGTAAATGTAGATATAATTAAAGCAATGGAGGCGTTCCTTCCGAGGTGAGTTGTTGACATCATGAGTGACCTGATGGTAAAATGCGTGTGAATAGAACATCCCCTTCCGAATTGTTGACATAATCACTGACCTTTCGACATGAAAGAAAAACTTAATAAGTTATCATCACTGACTGATCACTATCAGGAATGAGAGAATACCGAAATCTTTTGAAGGGGCTCTCAATGCAGTTCATCAATGCCGAAGTAATGTCACCATGATGCTGGAGAGTAGGTTGAATCTATATATTCCAGATATCGTTATTATTTCTCCTGGTTATTATTTCTCCTGGTTATTATTTCTCCTCGTTATTATTTCTCCTCGTTATTATTTCTCCTCGTTATTATTTCTCCTCGTTATCCTCGTTATTATTTCTCCTCGTTATTGTTTCTCCTCGTTATTATTTCTCCTCGTTATTGTTTCTCCCAGAGGCTGGTAGTCCTCTCGCTGAAACATTGGAAACGCTTCAGCTGTGGCTTGGTTATGTTGTTCTGCTTGAAAACTATTTACCTTTTGACAAACAGCAGAAGAGTCTTGATATCTCTTTCCGGTGGAGCAGTGCATTGGATGCCAAAGTGAGATCCAATAGATCAAGAAATCGGATTTTTATTAACGTTTAAATTGCGCATCAAGAAATCTGAACGTTAAATTGCGCCTCAACTCAGTCGCCTCTGCTTCTCCCTGTTACAACATTGAGAGTCTTGTCTTCGTCTTGTTCTCGCAGGTTGTTCTTGAACTCAATTCAATTAGATTTGAGAAGTTGTGCATTCTCTTCAACATTGCGGCAATTTCTTCCTGTCTAGCTTACGCGTGTGATCGCAGCTCAGCAGATGGAACAAAGGAGGCGATCAAACACCTTCAGTTGGTGAGTTCATTTTCCAGCATGTGTGGACTGCGATAATCAAGCTCGTGTTTGAGTTCTCCGTTGCTGAGATCATTGATAATCAAGGGGATTACGGATCAAAGTCTTGTTTATTTTGCTCGTTTGAACTTTATCCTCTTTTGCCCTTCAGGCAGCTTCCATTTTTACTCTCATCAAGACAGAATCTTCGCGCCTAGGAATTGGAAAATCGTCTAGTGATCTTTCTGATCCCGGCCTATCACTATTTGCTGCGCTCTCCTGTGCTGAGGTATTCAATCTCTTTGATTGTCAGGAGTCCATTATTTTGTCATTTTAGGCTCAAATCTGTGTTTATGATAAAGCAGTCAGAGATAAATTAAACCGCTCTCTGCTGGTCTGTCGCGTCTTCTCTTGTATTGACTGATAGACTTGCCTTCACAGAGCAAACTGGCCAGTCAAGTCTCTGAGTACTACGCCTCTGCCGCAAGCAGTTGTCGTGCAATTCGGCACCCCCCAGCATCGCTGAGTGTTTGGTTGGAGTGAGTGAATCTGATGTCTTTAATGCTGTTATTTGAAATCTTAATGGACAGAGTTCAACGTGTGGCTTTTTGCTCTGCGGCTCATTATCAGAGAGCGTTGGCTGATCTAGTGGATGTCGAGAAACGATCAGAAGGGTATGGAGCGATTCTTTGCCGATTACGACAGTCACGCCAAATGTGCGACGAAGCGATTCACAAAGCAAATGCAAACGGATTAACGACCGAGTTGAAAACGCTGAGCAATGCGATCGGAACAGCGCTCGAAAGACTTGAAAGGGACAACAGAATGGTTTATTTGGAGGTGCGTATCGTGCAATACTGTCCACGTCTTATGTGGGAGAAACGTTAAACACGCTGTTTTGAAATCATTCATTCTTCCTCGTTCCGTGATCTCTTGTCTTGTTCCGTGATCTCTCGTCTTGTTTCGTGATCTCTCGTCTTGTTCCGTGATCGCTTGTCTTGTTCCGTGATCTCTTGTGTTGTTCCGTGATCGCTTGTCTTGTGATCTCTTGTGTTGTTCCGTGATCGCTTGTCTTGTTCCGTGATCGCTTGTCTTGTTCCGTGATCGCTTGTCTTGTTCCGTGATCGCTTGTCTTGTTCCGTGATCGCTTGTCTTGTTCCGTGATCGCTTGTCTTGTTCCGTGATCTCTTGTCTTGTGATCTCTTGTCTTGTGATCTCTTGTCTTGTGATCTCTTGTCTTGTGATCTCTTGTCTTGTGATCTCTTGTCTTGTGATCTCTTGTCTTGTGATCTCTTGTCTTGTGATCTCTTGTCTTGTGATCTCTTGTCTTGTTCCGTGATCGCTTGTCTTGTTCCGTAATCGCTTGTCTTGTGATCTCTTGTCTTGTGATCTCTTGTCTTGTTCCGTGATCGCTTCTCTTGTTCCGTGATCGCTTGTCTTGTTCCGTGATCGCTTGTCTTGTTCCGTGATCGCTTGTCTTGTGATCTCTTGTCTTGTTCCGTGATCGGTCGGAATTTCACACTCATTGTGTTTCTCTTCCATTCAGGTGATTCCTTCGTTTTCTTCCTTACCGCCACTAGAATCTATCATCGCAATCAAACTCGACGAGTCCATCTCTATTGGAAGCCTTTGCTCTGAAGTGCCTGCAGAAACAACGGAAGCATTGGAATTGATCGTCCCGATGAAAGTGAAAGAAGCGCTTGCTGCTTTCGACTCTAGGTGTGAAAATGTCCTTCACTCAAAAAGATCGGGGCTGTGGCTGTGAATCGTGACCTTCTCTCTAAGATTTCCATCTCTCTAAGATTTCGATCTTTTTGTGTTGCAGAATTGTGGCAGTCAAGAGCGAAACAGAAGATTTGATTTCAGAACTGGAAAGGGACATTCGAACTTTTTCATCAGGTCATTTCTTGCCTGAAATTTTCGTTGATAAGATTCCCGATCTGCTGTGGGAAGAGGTTGAAGCGGCTCAGGTACGTTCTAATTGGGACACGCCTTGTCGGATCCCTAGTTCAGGGGGAGGGAGGACCCCATTCGACCTTTGCGTCCGTTAATTCGATTGAGGATGCAGCTGAGAGCGCAAGGCGTCACTTGGAGTCGCTTGAACGTCGATTGATCGAGGGTCAACCGGTGAGACAGTTGATAAGAGATTTGATGGTCGACAATGAATGCAGCAGGCGCTCTACGATCCAATTTGGGACAGAGGACGGTCCGCAATGGGATACTTGCAGACTGTAGCGAAATACAAAGAAAAACTTGACGTAAGTGTGAAAACTCTTTTTGATGATTATGATGATGATGATAATGATGATGATGATGATGATAATGATGATGATGATAATCATGATGATGATGATGACGATAATCATGATGATGATAATGAGGATGATGATAATAATGATGATGATGATAATAATGATGATGTTGATGTTTTGTTGCAGCTCGCAATCCAAGCAAATCGCGTTGTTAGAGACACAACAGAATCTGGAATGTCCCCAACAATCTCTTCTTATGAAAAAACGGGAAGAAATTGAAACTCATTTGCGAATTATTGAAGAAACAAGTCCTTCAAATCGAGCGAAGGAAGAAGTGATTTGAAACGATACGCGTCTTTGGAAAATCATTTTTATTCCCTTCAGCTTGTGGCATCATTCGGCGTGTTATCTTCATCCTTGGAATCAGTCAAAGTGGAAGTTGAACAATTTGACACAAACATCAGAACTCGCAGGAGTGGCTTGGTTGCTGCATTAAATAGAGTGAGCAGATCAATCTTCTCATTACTGATACATGCCATCATTCCTTCTTTCTCTTCTTTAATTGAAATTAATGTGTTCCTTTCATTAGCCGTTGACTGGAGATTCTGTTGAGTCGTTAGTTAATGCAGAAGTAGATTCTTGCCAAAGCTCTATTCGTTCCCTCACAATTAGTCGCAATCAATGTCGACTCCTGTTTGATGACTTCAAAAGAGAAATGGAAAATCGCAACGTTCTCTTTTCGAATAAACTTCAATTACTGAAAGTGAGAGTTTGCTGTGATATTTAAAAAAATAGTTCTCTTTCCCTTCACACATTCGCATTCGCCAGATTAAATATATTCAGTTATTGCTTGCATCTTATTGTTTTTATTTTTCGAATCAGTCTCTTCAATCAGCGTCGCAAAACTGTCACTCAAGCGCGATTGGATCTTCAAGATGGATTTAACTTCTTCACCCGTCTATCGCATCTTATTCAAACTCTTTCTCAAGAAGTAAAACAACAATACACTCTGGTTTCTTTTATTGTCCTTTATTATCATTCTTATTGTCCTTTATTATCATTCTTATTGTCCTTTATTATCATTCTTATTGTCCTTTATTATCATTCTTATTGTCCTTTATTATCATTCTTATTGTCCTTTATTATCATTCTTATTGTCCTTTATTATCATTCTTATTGTCCTTTATTATCACTCTTATTGTCTTTTCGTTTTCTGCAGGTTGATGACTTTTTGTTGCCTCGTCAACGAGTCCCTTCCCGCAGTCCAAGCGACTGCCCCACGACACACCGAGTCGTCCCTCATGTTTCCTCCTCGTACAGCTTCACGTCCACCTCTGTCCCATATTCTTCCCAACCCTACGCACCTGTGCGACCCGTCCACTCAAAAACTGACTCATATGGAGTCTTTCGAGATCGGATTCCTCCACCCATTTCCATTCCTGTTACTCGTCAAAACAACGCTACGGTCCCTCGCTATCCTGAAGTTAGTCGATTATCTACAAACTCAACGCTCGATCTTGGACGATCCAATCAGTTGCACGGGCATGTCTCATATCCTTGTCCGTTGAATTATTCCACACAATGATTTGAATCAGTTTTTCATATTTCTTTTGTAACTTTAACATTTTCATGGAATCAAATTACCAGTTCATTTTCATTGAAGCAGCAAAATCGGCTCATCGTTAACTTGATGGTAAAACGGATTCTGAAAAATTCTGAATTAATGACTCAATACAAGGGGGTGACCCAAGTCGCAAAAATGGCCAGCCAACTTGTCTGTAATACACGAGCGCTCTCATTGGGAGGGATTGCACTAGTTGGCCTGTTGTGTTTGCATCCCATTTGAAAATCGAAGCAGAAATCAGAATTATACACAATTTAGTGATGAGTGAGTTTCTCGCTTAGGGAGCTTCAAATTTCTGGTTTGAGAACTACGAGCTAATCACTGGGCACCCCATGAGATCGCTGTCTCCAATGATTGATCTGTTGTTGAAGGTACCCCATCTCTGAACGCGTCGAAGTCTCCGATAAAGCACATTGCAGAACATTGTGTTACCCGGTCAAGTGAGATCTAACTTCTCGCGCACTTTGGTTGTCGGGCTTGACCACCAAAGTGCCTTTCTAATGTTTTCCTATTTTTGACGACGCGGTTAACGGGAGAAGAGAGATTTTCTGGAGCAGCCATCAATCCAAAAGTGATCACTCCGCAACGTCTGTTTCCGATATAATTTGTCAGTTTTGATTGATTTCATCGATTGACTGGCTGTTCTCACTTGAGCCCACAATACAAGAACACCCACACTCACCCCCCTCTGCCAGAGCTGTCTGAAGCGCGAACTAAAAATGGCCTCGTTCTGAAGTATTTCCATTGCGCAATTCCAGAGCTCTCAGATCATACAGTGCTTGTATTTCCGGGCCCCACATGCACATATCTGTGTGCCTCAGAGCGAAATGTCACTGCAAAAGAGTGCTAGGCTGATTTTAGGTGTAAGATTGAAAAAAAATGAGTCCCTCTGATTATCCCTCGTACAGAATCCCAATAATCGACCTTTTCTGCTTCATCGCCGATCAATCACAAATGTCTCGAATTTATCATCCTGGTTATCCTCCACGACTGGAGAGGAAGGAAAAACAGCATCCTCCTTTCGCACAGCCGTCACCCACCCAGGGTTTGTCGTCGTTCCACAACAATCAGCGTTTGTGATTGAACGATTGGGAAAGTTCACGTAAGATTTCAGAATGTTCAAGAATTTAAAGAATTTTGTTGACATGCATCTGGATTCGTCGGCTTCACCCCTTCGCTGTGTTCCGTAGTCACGTTTTGACGCCCGGATTCCACTTTCTTCTCCCTTTCATTGACCGCGTGGCTTACGTTCACTCACTTAAAGAAGAAGCAATAAATGTGACCAATCAATCCGCTATCACCAGGGACAATGTAGGACTACAACAGCAAACATTACGATGCAATAGTTAGTGTTAGGAGGATCTTCTCTAGTGAAAGTATCCTTATAGCGTTAAATAGCACGAATTCTCGTTCCATGAGCTTATTCATGGTATTCAGCCACTCAATCCTAGTTGTTATTATTGTATCTGTTAGGTAACGATTCAATTAGACGGCGTTTTATACATCAAAGTGGAAAACCCTTATGATGTAAGTGAATCACGTTGTCCGACCAACAATTCATCCTCATCCACTCAGGCGTCCTACGGTGTTGAAAATCCAATCTACGCAGTGACTCAACTTGCGCAGACAACAATGAGAAGTGAACTTGGACAATTGACTTTGGATGAAACTTTCTTAGAGAGAGAAACTTTAAATCAAGCAATTTCGGTTGTAAGGACATCAATTTCCTTCAGTGGTGTCTTCCCTTCATGAGTGGGGATTCCTTATTGACTCCTTCTTCTCACCTTTTTTGCTTATTGCCTCCCTCCCTCTCACTTTGCCTTCTCTTCCCTCTCACCTTTTTGTTTTCCTAGGCGTTGAATACAGCTGCTTCGTCTTGGGGAATTCGATGTATGCGGTAAGAATAAGACGCAAATATGATGAAGGGGCAATAGAGTGGCACTCGCTGGATGAGAGTATTCATATGATGTGTTTCTTATAGGTACGAAATTAAAGATATTATTGTTCCTGGTAACATACGGAACGCAATGGAACGACAAGCTGAAGCTGAACGGCGGAAAAGAGCTGAGATTCTCCAAGCTGAAGGAGAAAAGCAAAAATTAATCGAACTCGCTGAAGTGAGACGCATGAGACTTTGTGCATTTTCGCGACGGTTATCGTTCTCAGGGTGAATCGGAAGCGATTGTGAGAAGAGCAGAAGCAACAGCTAGAGGTGAATAAATAATAGATTCGATGATGATGATTGTGATGATGATGATTGTGATGATGATTGTGATGATGATGATTGTGATGATGATGATTGTGATGATGATGATTGTGATGATGATGATTGTGATGATGATGATTGTGATGATGATGATTGTGATGATGATGATTGTGATGATGATGATTGTGATGATGATGATTGTGATGATGATGATTGTGATGATGATGATTGTGATGATGATGATTGTGATGATGATGATTGTGATGATGATGATTGTGATGATGATGATTGTGATGATGATGATTGTGATGATGATGATTGTGATGATGATGATTGTGATGATGATGATTGTGATGATTGTGATGATGAATCTCAGGCTTGAAATTAGTGTCGGAAGCGATAGAACAAAAATCTGGAAAGAGTGCTGTTGCAATGCAATTAGCAGAGCAAGTAAGGATTGACAGCAATGTGATCTGGTTATTAATTGAGTGACGTGCTCATCTTGCGATTTGCTATTTTCATAATATTTTTATTATACATTGTCTGCCTGTTAATTCAGTACGTTGAAGCTTTTGGAAGAATCGCTAAAGAAGGAAATACAATTTTAATTCCAGCGAATCCAAGCGATGCGTCTGGGATGGTCGCTCAAGCTTTAGCTGTCTACAAAAATGTTAGCAAGAGTGGTAAGAATAGTTGAAATGCTGGGACTCTGACTCAAAACATAGTTGCGAGTGTCCTGGAGAATTTGAATAAATATTAACTCTCATGGCTGAGTCTCTAAGAGTACTATAGAGGGTGAAAGTCCTACGTCAAATCTTGTCGCCCTCTCTTCAGTTGATGCAAATATGGCAAGCAGCCCGGTTAAACAAGAGTTGACCCAAACCTGACATTTTACATAGACATGTTTTTGAGTTGCCTGGTATTGGAGTGTGTTGAACTCGTTTGCTGTGACAGGACCGTACACTTGGAACACAGTCAGTTATCCATTGCATCATAGAACAAAATGTTTGGATTATTTGGTGGAGAAAAAAAGAAAAAGGCATCAGCAGACGCCCAACCAACAACAACCTCCGTTGAAGGAGGCTCAGAAAAACAGGTTGATGCTGACGTAAGGCAGAGATATGGCTTCTATCATGGACGCCATTGCAGGTCCTGGAGAAGAGAAACCCAGGGAATGTCTTAATGGTCTCGAATAAAAGACATCGTAGCTTCTATGAGCGAGCAGGTTTGTAACATTGCGCTCAATTTTGGGGATGAAGGCTTTCCTTTGCAGCCCGCGAGCTCTTTGCATCGGAGCATGACACTGTTGTCATCTCTGCTTTGGGACATGCCGCTCAACTTGGAGTGACTGTAGCTCTTTCCTTGCAGGAGAAAAACGTATCAACTGTCATGAAGGTGTGTTCTACGAATAGTTGTGTAGTGATGCAGTGTCGTAGTGGTTGGTGTGTCCGTGTCGTAGTGGTTGATGTGTCATTCATTTTATATTATGAATTTCAGATTGAAACAAAGCACGTTTCCACGTCTCGTCGAAATTCGGGTTCAGTCCATTCGTCTGGTGTTACAATCACTTTGTTAAAGCATCCATCCTTTTCTGGGATGAGAACTGTTCCTAGCCACGTCTTCTTTTGTCCATCGACAACTGAATCATTGGCGTATCATCCCTCGCCAGATCTGCCATTTGCAGCAATTAATCTCGGCAAGTATCCAATCGATTGTCGTGTCCCTTTCCCAATGCCTTGATTGTCGTGTCGCTGTCCCAATTGCAGGATCTTCCGGGAAGTTGTTCAACTCTACTTACGGCGAGGCTTTGAAATCCGTTTTGTCAAAAGCAGGTCATGAAACCGCTTCTATTGGAGTCCATCCAGTACGTCTTTTTAGATTGAGATATTGGAAATAAAATCTATTGGAAATAAAATCTATCTGGGAGTGGAATGTATTTGGGAGTGGAATGTATTTGGATCCCACGCAAACGTGGATCCATCCCCGTAGACCACTCGTTCTTTTGTTTGCAGGATTTATTCAACGAAGCTCTCAAGACAAACCAGGATGTCGCCAACTTATCGGAAATTAAGTTTCTTGGTGTGTTAGCTGGAAGTCCCAATTCAAATCCGTAGGAAATTCAATTCTTCCATCAACTTCATATCTTTTTACATTCCAGAAATTTAAGAGCTACTTTTGTCCGTATTGCTCCTAACGTCACTAAGACGGACATGACTGGAACAGTTTTCGTACGCCGTAGAAATTATCTTTGTGTGTTTGACACCATGATGATTTTTAGATTGAAGTGTTCGAAGAAGGAAAGTCCCCCCATAAAAAGTAAGACGAGAGTTTCACGTTTGAGTTCAATAATCATCATTGATGGCTTGATTCACAATTATCGTCTTGTCCCACCTTATCGTCCCGTCCCATCTTGTCCCACCGATATGAAGGACGGCGAGATCGTCAAGATCCAACCAGATGACGTTGATTTTCTTTCAATGACTCTTCAGTTATCTTTTAATGAGAGTCTGTTTGTTGCTATTCTGCAACATGACTGCAACGCTTCTCACGAAGATGTTGCGTCTTTTCATTGTCTTTCTCTTCATTTCCTGAATCCAATTTCTGTATCCATTTCCTAAAATGCTTCTCACAAAGACTTCATGATATCTTCAAGTATATGTCTCTCTTTCATCTCTGTTTTTTTGTTTCTTTCAGTCAAGAGAATGTTGCTTTTGTTCAAGTGATGTTCCCCGTTGGATCCGCGTATTCAACTGCTGAAGAATATTTATCTGCTGTTAAAGCCACAGGGGCCAATTTGATGACAGCTTTGTGTGATTATAATGGGTATTCGAGACGTCATACTGGACCACCACATCTTCGACGGTGAGAAATTCAAGACCGTCTTAAGATTGATGTTCATTTCTGTTTCTAGGATTGCCGTCGTTAGGTAAATGGGAATGACTGATGATGCTGATCCCATACATAAATATATCCCCCATCATGCAAACACAATCACTCATCACCATCATTCATCATCATGTTACATCTGCATGTTCCACCGCCATCTCACGCCATCATTATTCATTTTTCATCATCACTCTGTATTTCTCAGACTCGCTCCCTTCTCTGTCGACACACTTCATCGCGGTGTATCGAAGAAAGATCTCGCAGGTTCACTTCTGAGCGTGAGACGGATTCCCTTCCAAACACTCAGCGTCACTCTCTTGGTGTCTATTGCAGGGATTGGACGTCGCTTATCATTTTGGGACATCACCCCGTCTCCAATTCTTGGATGACGACGAAGGTATGGAATCCAGTGATGCATCATTTTAATTCTTTCGCGGCAGGTTCGATGAAGTCAGTTTTTCTTGAAAGATGCGGCGGCCAAGCTCAAATTTGCGAGGCACAATTTCGCCGACGTCCAACGAATCAACCACAATTGTCAGAAAATGACAGTTGACTTAACACTCGAAAGCTGCTTTTGAAGATTTTAATTTGTGTCTATTTTTAGCGGTACTGTGAAATTTAGTTTCAATTTGAAACCGCTAAATTTTAATAATGCGACAGTCCGTAGCAATTCGTCCCGACACAGTCTTATAAAATGGGTGCAGAGCCACTGTACACAGGTGCTTATAGAGTACACAGGTGCGTATAGAGTACTGACCGATACAGCTGGCAAAATGAGAATTGTAGCGCACTCAACCCAAAAGGACGGACGCACAACTTCGATAACACCCACAGGTGCGAATTACATGCCAGACGAAAAAAATTCCGAACCACTACAAATTGCCGAACGAACCAAAATCCGAGGAGAACTGTATAGTGGAAACGAGAACTGTGCAAATAAACTAAAATATCAAACCGTCATTAGAAAGTAGAGCGGAGATACCAACGAGCTTTGAACTCAACGGGTTGTTTTTTCTTTATACTCGCGATAACATGACGAGTCTTTTACACTTAACGGGTTATTTTTTTCTTTATATCTTCCTGAACTGGTGGTGGTGGTGCTTCAAATCGGACCCATCGCCTCCGATCGAAGGGAAGAGCCATATCAATTAAATGCGAAGGACGATCAGCAATTTCGTGCTTCTTCGCCACTCGTTCTGCGATGATGAAATGTTCGAAACAGAGCGTCGTAAGGGAATTCAGGAGGATGATTCCGGCGAGTCCCAATCGGAAAGGGAATGGTGTTGGCATGATGGACAACCACTCAGCCAAGGGTGAGAAAGTTTCATAAGGGGCGATTAGGATCAGAGAAGAAAGAATTGTGAGAACGATAAAAACTGTTGTATGTGCCCAATTTGTAAATGAATCTGAAACGCATAACAACGTTGGGAAGAACCATTTGCGGAAGAATTATTGGCGAGAGAATTATTGATGAGCACCACATTGAATCATCTGCTTACGCTTCCTCCATGGCTTTCCCAAACAATACACCAAATTTGTCGTTATTAGTTGAAAACTTGACATCAGAAAGATGACAGTATTTTCATACCCTTCTAGATCATCGGACTCAAAACGGTCCGCTTCCGTGTCGGGAACAAATCTTTCGTAAAAACTAGCATTTGACACATAAACCAATCCCGCAGCAACGAAGCCCAACTGAAGAAAAATCTGCAAAGAAACGGAAGCTCAAGAACAGACAAAATCACAGAAATATTCATGGTAATGCCAACCCCCTAGGCAAACGTCAGACCACGCCGTGCCCGTAGTTCTGCTCTCACTTGGCCAAGAATCGAGCCTATCACTGGTAATCCAACAAGCTTGCGGGTGGGCATTCTTTGAGATAAAACACTTGACGCGTTTGTCCAAGCCATTGTCATTGCAAGAGGAAGAGCAACAACCAAATCCACCCATAAGTATTGAGGGTCAGAGAGATTCCCTCCATAAGAATAGAGAATAGCCACCGTTGTTAATTGGAGAAGAGCATAGAGCGTGACAAATTTGAAGCTTTGAAATGAATTAGTCAACGCTCCACGACTTTCGCGTAAAACATCGACAGCACTTCGAACTGTTTTGTTGGTTGACGTGAAAGGTGCGGCGATCGAGGCTTCTTTATCAGAAAGGGACACCTAAAAAACACAAGGGCTTTCACGCTACCTCCAAGCATTTGGAATCAACGTCTTCACGTTGCGATAGTCAATTACTAATCGGTGGCAACTTACCCCCACATCTGACGCCTTCAAAGCACCACAATCGTTGGCTCCTAAGAAATATTGAATTCACAACAGACAACGAAAGGCTGATCATGTAAAGGCTTACCGTCACCACAAAATCCGATCAACGGCTCATACGGCAAGCGTTGCAAACTCTCTACCAATTCGGCTTTATTATCGGGCGTCATTCGAGCGTAAATACGACAATACCGCAAGCAATACTCGAATAGAGACATATCAACACATTCAGAAGTCGCTTTGCCAGAATCAGAAACTTTTTTCTCAATTAAGATTTTCATCGTCATTTGGTCTTTTATATTTTTGTCATTCCAATTCGCAGATTCAAGGTCCGTAAAGTTCTGTTCGACTTTATCCGGCTTTCCCTCAGATTCTTGTTTCTTCTTTCCATAACAGCTGAAAATCTTGCACTGCTTCTTCCGATGCGAGACGTTCTCTCCCAAGAGCATCTGAGTCCACTGAAGTCCAAGTTTTGAATGAAACTGGCTGATCAGCCGGAATGCTGGACCCGTGAGAACAACAACAACATCGCGGGGATCCTTTC